TTCAAAAGCTTATTTAACTTTATCCTAACCATGGTCCAATAAAAGACATCACCTAAAAAAAACCTCCTTGACTCTTGTAAAATATATACAACATTAACAAATATGAAACAGCCATCCATCAGACTACACTTACCTTTCTTCAGTCCTTACTCGGACTTTGTGGTCAATAATGATTTGCTTAAGTAAAGAAAATGGATACAATCTAAAAAGGATTACAACCCTTAGGACTTAACAGCTCATTTTATTTGCCATGGGATAAGATTTAGAGCTTGCTAAAATGCATCATACCTGGCAAACTATAGAATAAGCAGACCAAGAAGTTCAAAAAGTGACAGAAAACTAAAATCTCCTAATTCCATGCTGTTCAGACAAAACAGGTCTACGTTTAGAAGCGTATATAGTAGAAACAATTATATCCTTTTTGGGTCAAGTTCCAGTCAACTGTTTATAGTTTGTAAGGGGGAAAGTAGATGGAATTGACTGGTTAGCATGGGTTCTGTGTTATTCCCGGTCCTCATCATTTAGCTTCTATAATGAATTTGATTATTTAAAGACGTGTTCCCTGGTTAAATTTACACCCCAAATTCTAGTTATTCATTGCCACCTGTTATTCGTTGCCATTATTCATTCTCAACTGTTATTCATTGCCATCCTTACTGCTAGTAAGTCCATTAATGCACTGGTTTTGCATAGTCATTTGCTTAAGTCACCCAAGTCTTTGGGTACCATGATGGATTAAAAAACTTCTTAAGGAGAGTAATCATGATAAAAGTTACCCAATCCATTGTCTTCACCAGAGGCAAGATCAATTGTACCTAAAATAACTATATTTATTATATGTACTAATACTTGATCACACTTTCTCAGTCTTTGCTTTACAGAACAAGCACAGCCAAATTGAGACTTAATGAGACCTTCTGTCCTGTAGGTAGTTACAGGATGATGTCCTGGAGCAGGGCTGTCCCACTTTGGTATGGCCAGGGTCACCACTGTGCAGTCTGCAGAGGCAGTGCTTAGACCCCCACCACCTGCAGCACAAGTTGAACATGAGCTGCCAGTTGGATGGCCCCATTATAGAGTAGAGTATAGAGTATAAGGGCTTAGTCCTTTGCTCCTTGTTTGGGTCAAACTCTGACTTTCCAAAAATTTTCTCACTAATGGAATATAGGATCATAGCCCAAAGTTCACCTCACATTTCACTGGGTGGCTTGTGTGACAGTGTTGAGAATACTGTCTTCTGAGAAGTAGGTATATAGGAGATCCAGAGACCCACAGAAGCCTCTTTACAGACCTCTCAGGAATGCAGCAGGTAGCGTGTGTACTGTAAAGTGAGAATACATTGTAACAGGAACATACACCAGAAAAGAGAACAGCCTGAATCAGCCTGACAGTCACCAAAAAAGTGCAAATAACTGACCCAAATTGTTAGTTGTAATGTAGACAGAAATGTAGAGAATGAGAAGCATTCTGTAGATTAACTCTTATCTCTGCTTGTAGCTGATCTCAATTATTTGGTAGTTCCTTTAGCACATCTGAAGTCCACAGCTTGTCTTTTTATGAGAAATCCACCCATTCATGCAAGGCACCCAAAAAGCTGCTTTAAATTATATCAGCAGTAATGTTCCCCTTCAGGACTACTGTGTCGGTCCTGAATCTCGCAACTCCAACCAGGCTCTGGATGCTGGGGAGTTGAATAGGTGTGCTTTAGAGCCAGCTGTGCCAGTTTAACCCCACTCTGACATTTTCCTATGATTGATACAGGAGAACCCCAACTGCCCCCTTTTAGAATATTACAGAGCAGCTAAGTGGAGAGCTTCTAAGGATCTGGTTCATGGGATGCACATTCAAGCCTGATTTACAGTTTCTACTGGTTAAGAACCAACTTCAGTATTCTGCACTGAACAAATTACACACTCCTGCTGCTGCTTATGCACTCTCATGTTGGAGAGCATCAGTTCTAGGTAACTGTAGGGAAGAGGAATTGAGAGAGAGCTCAGCTTTTCTTGCTGTCCCACCTTGACTTGGGCCTATCTGTATAGTAGGAGGAAATGGCAGTGCCCAGTAAGCTGTTTGGAGGAGGAGATAGAGTTACTGGGTTATCCAGAAGGTTTCTGTTTATCTCTCTGTCCCTAACAGTTTTCTACAATACAGGTTAAAAGTAAGTTTCAGTTCATTGCTGTTCCAGCAACATATTTTTGCTATTGGATATGTCTGTCTAATCCAGGCATGTGAATCAAAGTAACATCAAATGGAATAACAGGTACTTTGGATGAAAGTCCCTCGTAGCTCTTTGTCTAGCCCTTTGCTGCTTTCTCTGTGTGCCTTGTGTGTAGGTCACCTCACCTGCTTACATGGTTATAACTACCAACTTTATGGTGGTGACTTCTCAAGCCCTGACACTTCTCCCTTTGCCTATGCTCATATCTCAGCTTGTTACTCTGATACCTGCTGCTGCATTTCCCGCTGGCAACTAATATGAAAATGTCCTAAAAAGGTGTCTTTTTTTACTACCCCAAACTGCCTTCTCTCCTTCAGCCACCTTTCCCTGGTTTACTATAATATTTCCAATAGTTTGCCTCTCTTCCCCTGTCTTGGTTGACTGGCCCTCCTTGGCCCTCCTTAGCACTCTGAGTACTGTGATCACCTTTTCTCTACCCTCCCTGACTATCCCTGTCTTGTGAGCCCCCTCACGACTATGTCCCTGCCTATTTATCCACACCTGTCTCTTATGTCATGAACATGCAAAGAGCTGGAGCTCCTGACTCTGCTTGTGATATCTACTTTTCTTGCTCTCCTCTGCTGCATATACCTTCCCACTATCTGCTGTGCCACTATGTGTGCCTGTGTGACCACCTTCCCCAAACTGATAAAGCCAGCCTCTTGCAAATCCCACCCTGGATCCACTCCGACTGCTGTACCCTCAGCAATTGCTGCATCTGGCAGGGGCCCAGTGGTAATGGTTTATGTAATTAATTTCTTGTTTACTTAAATTGCTAAAAATCATTCAAAGTCTGCACACTGTGTCATGTAGCTGATCTCCATAACCTCATGTCCTCGCCACCATTGTTTTTGCTCCACTTGCCCTCTGGGATTTTCAGAAATGCTTCTTTCTCCTCAGGTATCCAGGTTGTAACTGTATTGGTCTAGAGGAAAAGGCAATCAGGACTTGCAGTAGAGATGATATCTTTTATTAAACCAACAAGATCTTTGCAAAAAAAATTCTTTAATTACAAACTTTCGGACACAAACACCCTTCATCAGGCATTGGAGAAAAGATGGTAAAATTTATCCTGGGTAGAAATGGAAGTTCATAGATTCATAGACATTAGAGCTGGAAGGGACCTCGGAAGATCACTGAGTCCAGCCCCCTGCCCAAAGGGCAGGAAGTCAGCTGCGATCATAGGATCCCAGCAAGATAAGCATCCAAATTTCTCTTGAAGGCGTTTAATGTGGGTGCTTGAACCACCGCTGACGGCAGGCTATTCCAGACCTTGGGGGCTTGGACAGTAAAAAAATTCTTCCTTATGTCCAGCCTGAAATGGTCTTGCTGGAGTTTATAACCGTTCAATCTGGTCATCCCTTGGGGTGCTCTGGTGAACAAACGTTCCCCCAGATCCTGGTGAGTACCCCGATAAACTTAGAGGTGACCATCAGATTGCCCCTGAGCCTGCACTTTTCCAGGCTAAAGAGCCCCATAGCTCTCAGCCTGTCGTCGTAAGGTCTGTTTTCCTAACCTCTGATCATGCATGTGGCTCTTCTCTGGACTCTCAAGCTTCTCCACATCCTTTTTGAATTGTGAAGCCCAAAACTGGATGCAGTACTCCAGCTGTGGCCTCACCGAGGTCAAGTACAATGGGAGAATGATGTCCCGGGATTTACTTGAGAAGCATCTATGGATGCAAGCCACCATTTTGGTCGCTTTACTAGCCACAGCATCACATTGAAGGCTCATGTTCATCTTGTGGTCAACCATGACCCCCAAGTCCTTTTCATCTGTAGTGCTAGCCAGCGTAGCACTGCCGAGCCTATAAGGATGCTGCAGGTTTTTTCCTCCCAAGGTGGAGAACCTTGCATTTTTCAGTGTTAAACACCATCAGGTTTTCATCCGCCCATTTCCTGAGCCTGTCAGGGTCAGCCTGGATCACCCTCCTATCCTCAGGTGTGGACGCTTTACCCTAGAGTTTGGTATCGTCGGCGAACTTGGCCAGTCCACTTCTGACTCCAATGTCCACATCATTAATGAAGATATTGAACAATACAGGTCCAAGAACAGAGCCTTGAGGGACCACAACAATTGACTTCCGTCAACCACCACCCTCAGGGCCAATTCCCCGCCCAGTGGATCATGGTGGACCCGAGGCCTCAGTTGGCCAGTTTTTTGAAGAGGTGATCATGAGATACCAGATTGAAGGCCTTTTTTAAGTCAAGATATATGACATCAATCTCCTCTCCCTTGTCCAGGTGATAGGTCACCTGGTCATAGAAGGAAATGAGATTGGTCAGGCAAGACCTACCCGCAACAAAACCATGCTGGGTATCCCTCAGGATCTTGCCGTCAACTAGTCTGTTATGGATGGCCTCTTTAATCTTTTTTAAGACCTTGCCCAGGATAGAGGTCATATTTCATAGGATTTCACAGAGGAGTCAATAGATGGAAAACTCCCCTGGGCAGTCGGTTCATAGCCTTTTCTCTTTCTCTTCAGGCTGCTTGGCCTTGATTCCAAATTCTAATTCCTTTCATCACCAACAGTACCTTTTTTTTCATGCGTTCGTCAACTCTGAGGACTGAGATTTCACATCCTTGCCTCTCCACCCTCTTGTATTGAGATAGCAGCAGTGACAGGGCTTAACATGGTAGCTGATGAACCATTAGCTGACTAGCAGATGTATTTGGGTGGTCTGATATCAAAATGGAATTACATCTATAGACTTCCTTTGGAAATGGGTTTTTGGTTGAGATTTGAAGTCTGGTTCTCATGCTGTCTCTTTCTGTTTTATAGGCTCTGAATGGCTTTGTGTTGGTGGTGACATCAGAAGGACTGATATTTTATTCGTCACACACAATTCAAGACTATCTTGGATTCCATCAGGTTAGTGGCATATTCTGTGCATTTTTAGCATAGTATTTGTTTGGCCTGTGGCTTTTTCTTCATTTTTGCTGATTAAAAGTACCGTATGACTTGGGAAAGAGCAGACATTTATTTGTGTTCTTTGAGGAGTTCAAAGCTAATGGATTGGAGAATCCTTTCAAATCAGAACCTGACACAACTTGATCAGATGTTTGTTTCACAGATATATGTATGGCTTCTCTGATCTGAGGACAGAGGAAGGAGAAGATTGCCATTGACTCTAGAAATGATGAGCAAAGCCAAGAGGCAGATTTGAGTTCTTATCCACAGCAAATGGGCCAAAATATGTTCTCTTGCAACCATATTGAACTCTGCTGAAGTCAATGGCATTGCAGTGGATTTATGCCGGCACCCAAAGCAGAGATTTACGTTGGAGGGTTAGTTGGTTATGCCTCTGCTATGCTGACACAAAAATAGCACTGCCTCATTGAGATTTGTTACTGTTAGGAACTACAGTATTAAAAATAACAGGGATTAGGATCATAATGCATGAAGCCCACTTCCCTCTCAGAATATATTTGTTTGTTAGTTCCAGGCATGAGATGACATTAATGCACTGAGCAAAAAAAAGGAAAATTATGTTACAATTAGAAAGGATTCTGGTGTGGCTCTTTGCCCCAGCCTTATTAGGGACCGTGCAACAGAGCTGGTCCAAAAGAAGTGGTCAAAAATATCTTTGGATGCAGTGGGACACTGAAAAAGCTAAAACATGTTTAGTTTTCCACAGCTGAAATACAAAGTAACTTTGCTAGCAATTGAAAACAATAACAAAAGGAGTACTTTTTTGTTACCAATACAGAAACATCCTGTTGGTTGTTAGATTTCAGATTTATAATAAAAAATTTAGCAAAAACAATTAATATTTTTGTGGCAAATAAATTGCATTTCCTCACACAGACTGCACCACCTGGAAGACACCTTGACTGGTAGCATGTCTAAGGTGGAACTATTATACTTGACAAAACATTTTAATAGCCCGGTATCATTCTCACGGTGTTACTTGCTCTCAAGCAGTCAGTCTCCGTCGCCTGATATTCTTCATACATGCAAATAATCTGGTCATATATCAGGAATAGTAAATATTTTGAAGTCACTCAGAGATAGTCTTTAGTTAATTGTAACTTAAATGTATTTCCACAAAGAATATTGATTTCATTGCTGATTCCACTGGTAGGAGAGTGGCTTAATCTTAATCGCAAGTAAATAATTCATTTGTGCCAGAACATATCTGGGCACATTTTAGAGTGGTTTCTCTTTCACTTCATGTCCTATTATCTGAGCGTCAGCAGACATCAGTTGATTTAGGCTTACAATATCCTTGGGAAGGAGATAAATGCTATTATCTCCATTTCCCAGAACAGAAACTGAGGCAGAGAAGCAATTTATTTAATTGAGAATTGGACATCTAAATAACTGAGGATTTCAGCCCTGATGTAACTTGTACAGGGTCACACAGGAAGTCTATATCAGAGCCAGCAATTGAGCCTTGATCTTATGAGTCCTTTTTGCCCACTCTAACGTTTTTACCCTAGAACCATCCATTCATCCATCCTTTGCAATACTAATAGGTTGCAGTAAGCAGAAAACATGCACTTGATGTTGCTGTTCTACAAATTCACAAACATGTATGCCACATGGGTGACGAAACTGAGTTTTTATAAAAGGTTGGAAATGTGAATGACTGCAGAGAGCTATATTTTTTCAAATTTGGTCACAGTATCTTGCATTTTGCTGGAGTTTGAGCTTCAAAAGAGGTGAGGTGTTGTACAGCTACAATGGCATGGAAGCTGCACACACATGCTACCTTGCCCCATCTTTTTTTCTTTAACCAGAGCTTGAAGCCCTGTTAGTTAAAAGCTGTGCAGATGCACAGCTAGAGTTGGGAAGCTTAGTGTCTGGAGTTTTTACAGGCCTTGGGTGTCTCAAGGAACTAATGTTGCTCAAATACAAGTTTTTGTAAAAATTGTACTGTGCAGCATTTTGGGTCAAAATACCACTACCAGTCACTTTAGGCTTTTGATACCTCAGACAGTCTCTGGGTGATGTGATGTGAAACTTTGTGTCTGAAATGGAACAGTTCGCCTTTTTAGGTATCATTCTAGCTGTGGGAGGGGGAATGAGAAGGGAAGATCCATTGAGAAAATACTTCTGCCTGCACCTTACATTTTAAAAACACAGGGGGGGATGAGTCTTCCTTTAACTGCTGCATTTAAAGGGATCAGAGCTCATTTCCTTTTGAGAACCTACTGATCTTGTATATAAAGCCAGAAGGAATGGATGACCTTTGAAGGTACTGAACTGAAGGAAAGAGATTGACATGCCATTTTCCTCTCTACTACAAGTATGGGCAAGTCACTTAGATGTCTAATTGCTTTAAAAGCTTGGTTCTATTCTCACTTATCAATTATGCATGCAAATACCTTTAAAATCTGGTTCTGTAACTCTTGATGCCTTGTTTCCACTGTAATATATTTTTGGAGAAGGGGCTCTCTTACTATGTACCTATGCATCACCTAGCATAATGGGGCCCTGATCTCCAGGTAGAGTTACACTTTACACTGGGTGCATCTACACATGCATTAATGTACTTTTGCATATCTCTACTATGAGGTACTACATAAATGCACATTAGGCTGCCCTAATGCGCAGTAGCAGAAGTGCATACATTTTTAGTGATGCTTAATGTGCTGTAGCCTATGTCTACTGCACATTAGCACTGTTTTTGATGTGATGGTTTAATGTGCAGTAGAATAGACTCCTGCATATTAAAGTGCATGTGTAGATGTGCCCACTGAGTCCATACTAAGGATTCAGTGTAAAATCTCTGAGTGTCTAAAATGTGAGTGTCCACACATTAAACCTTGTTGACCCTTGCTAAGTGCTCTTGGAGCATCTTAAAATTAAGGTTAAGTAAGGGTTAACTCTGGGCTATGCTATGTAGTCTGCTCCACAAATATACAACTGAGCAATTTGCAATCCTCCAGCACCCCAAGCCTTGGGCATCCTTGCCCATACCCAGAGCAGGGTTAGAGCCTAGGTGTCCTGGCTCTTAGCACCCCGCCACACCCACACCCTCCCCCACTTCTTTTAATGCTTTCTAGCCCTCTAGTGGCAAGTGAGAGTTGTGCGGGCCAGACACTCTAATAACTCTTCACGTGCGACAACACACAGCAGATTCTAACTTAAACACCGCTTAACAGTGTATAGATTTAGTATGGTCCAAGTATAACATGTAACATCACCCTCAGTCTGTGCCTTTAGGTGTTATCAGAATGTTAATAATAAGTGTGAGCTGAATAAAGTTGTTCTCCTTTCTCCAGTGCAAAGTGACTATTGAAATTGTATAGCACATTGCTTTAAACTTTTTGGTTTTTAACACAAAGGATTTGCTTTCGTTAAATAAACTAAATTAAGAAGATCAAAGCTCCTACAGTCAGGACTAAGCTAAGAGACTGTAGTATGTTGAATTAGTGCTCAAATCATTATTGCCATTTCATAATTCACATAATCAAATATGAAAATCATCATCATGAACTAAGCTGGAAAGTTGCAATAAATGTTTGCATAGAACACTTTATGGTGTTCCATGCACGAAAAGTTATCGTGCATACACATGGTGATCTCACAGCAGGAAGTGGGAGAGATGTGTAATAAATGTTGACAGGTGGCTCAAAAAGTTGGATTATAATAAGGGTGGACTCTGGGCATGTCCAGACGAGTGTGCACATGCAGTATGTGGTGCCACAGACCCATCTGTGGCGTTGCACGCTGCAAGCACTGCACATGCAGATGTTCTCCTTGCTGCTAATTTGTGGCGGGGAGGGATTTGGCACTGGGATCTCCTGGTGTCAGAAAACCCTGCCTAAAAAAAAGCAGAGCAGCACACATGGTGGCAGCATGTGCTGCTTGAAACTCGAGCCTGGCTGGCCGGAGCCATGCTTTGACTGCTCGCCAGGCTCCCTGCTGCTGGATTGCCACAGCTGCAGCCTCCAGAGGTACCCAGGACCCCAGGTAAGGCTGTTGGGGCCAGCCCTACCCCACCCAGGGTAATGTGCAGTGCACTAGAGCACGCATGTATGGGTGTTCCCCAGGGACAACTAGCACTGGCACATATTATACAGCTGCTGTTTTGTCCTCAGGGAAGCGCACATTCCCGCTGATGGGGATGCACCCTGTATGTCTGTTATCATAAAAAAGATGATTTCAAGTAAAGTTGTTAACTGTAATTTCATAAGGCTGTATCTTTTACATGGTATGGCAGTACATATAGCACATTTTGAGACAAGTGGAAAGGATAAAAAACGCACAGACAAATTTGTTCCTAATGTGAACTACACTCTGGGCACATCTACACATGCTATTACTGTGCATGAGTAAACTGTGGAGCTTATTGCTCCTAGGCACGCCATTTGAATGTGTGCCTGGGAGCAATTAACACTGGAGCATTAAGCTTCATGGTTTATTCATTCACAGCACGTGGAGCTGGGTCAGAGAGCAGCCTTGGCTGGCAGGAGGCTCTGAGGGTCAGCCTGCGGCTGCTCCCCCTGGCTTAAGATGAGGTGGAGGGGCTGGCTGGGGCATTAGGGAGCTTCAATGCAGGACTAGCAGGCAGACAGCCTCCACACTGAAGCCCC